CACGGTGATACTGAGACAAGGAGTACTTTTGTTGTTAATGACACTTTCACTTTCACAGATGCGGTTGACAATGGCCCAATGGTATTATCCCTAGGCTATTAATCCAGAAACCCAGCTAATGTTCTGGGGACCTGAGTTCAAATCCCACTATGGCAGACGGTGGAATTTGAATTCAATAATTACAAAAAAATGTCTGGAATTAAGAATCTACTGATCACCATGAAATCATTGCCAATTGTTGGTGAAACCTCTACCAAATCTCCTCATAGCTTTCTGCTCTCCAAGCAAAAAAGTTCAAACTTCTGCAATCTTTCCCATAACTTTTATGTGTGTCATCCTAGAACCATTCTTGTAAACTTCTTCTGCGCAATATATCACATCCTATCTATAACGTGGTGACTGAAACTGTACACAGTATTCCAGCTGAGACCTAATCAGTGTATTATATCATAGTAAAGGGGTGGTAAAAAGACGATCACTATCAGCTAGGGACAAAATGGCTATTTGTGTCTGAGAGTGTAGTAGATGCAGATGTATCAAATTCCATTCCAGAGATTTTTATCATAAAATCCTGGTTCGAAACCCCAACGGCACTATCAAAGAAACTTTCCTTCTGATGAGGCATAAAGCTACGATCCCAACTGCTTCCTCAGGTGAACATAAAAAAAAATCCCATGGTGTTATTTTGAATAAAAGGGCGTGGGTTCCAGTTATTACCCAATCAATGCCTTCATAAAAACAGATTTTCTGTCCATTACCATAGTCCTGTCTGTGGGATCTTGCTGTGCACACATGCTGCTGTGCTCCTTCAATTGCAAGAATGTCTGCATTTCAATAATTTGGGATCTCCTGAGTCCATGAAATGTCCAAGGAAGGATGTGAATGTGTTGAAGGCAGTGAAGGTTTACTAGACTGGAATGGGCAGGTTATCTTATGAGGAAAGGTCGAACAGACTGAAGATGGTATCCAACTAAAGTTTAGAAGAGTAAAAGATGACTTTGTAAGATCTTGAGCGGTCTTTGCAGGCTGGACGTGGAAAATATGTCAGAGATAGTAGGAACTGCAGATGCTGGAGAATCCGAGACAACAAGGTGCAGGGCTGGATGAACACAGCAGGCCAAGCAGCATCATAGGAGCAGAGAGGCTGACGTTTCGGGCCTAGACCCTTCATCAGAAAAGGGGCAGGGGAATGGGGTTTTGAAATAAATAGGGAGAGAGTGGGAGGCGGATAGAAGAGGGATAGAGGAGAGGATAGGTGGTGAGGAAACAAACAGGTCGAAGAGGCGGGGATGGAGCCAGTAAAGATTAATGGAGTTTGGTTTCAGTTAAAGAACCTATATTGTAAAGTTTCATGTGTGTAATGATGTCCCTGAAGGTACGGGGTTGGCATGGTGGCTCAGTGGTTAGCACTGCTGCTTCACAGCGCCAGGGGCCTAGGTTTGACCCCACCCTCGGGTGACTGTCTGTGTGGAGTTTGCACATTCTCCCCACGTCTGCATGGATTTCCTCCGGTTTCCCCCCAAAGTCCAAAGATGTGCAGGTTAGGTGGATTGGCCATTCTAAACTGCCTCCAGTGTCCAGGGATGTACAAGTTAGGTGGATTAGCCATTGTAAATATGGGGATGGGTTGGGTCTGGGTGTGATGCTCTTTGGAGGGTTAGTGCAGATTCAATGGACTGAATGGCCTCTATTTGCACTGCAGGGATTCTATGGTAAGAGTAAAAGAGAGGAAGCCATTGTCTCTGGTGGGCACCAGACCACAAGTTCAAAGCAAAGTTCCTCATTATAGGGGTCTTCCTGACTCCTCTTGCAGAGTTCTGGGCTGGTGGTTCAAAAGGAATATGAACAGAATTTCCTGTGGATATTATCTGAAATATCACAAGGTGTTGCAGCAGAAATAGGCCATTCAGCCCATGGAGTCTGCTCCATAATCCACACCAGATTACGATTGTTCTGATAATCCTTGACTCCACTTTCCTGCCTTTTTCCCGTAACTATTAACACCCTTACTGATTAAAAATCTGTCTGTCTATCTCAGCCTTGTATATACTTCAGCATCCAACCTGTAAATCTTCAGTAGTAAAGAATTCCACAGACTTACTACCCTCTAAGTGAAGAAATTTCTCCTCATCTGTCTTAAATGGGTGACCCCTTCTTCTGAGATGATACCCTCTGATCATAGACTCTTCTACAAGTGGAAACAACCTTTCCATATCTACCCTGTCAAGCCCCTAAGAATCTCATGTTTTTCAATCAGGTCACCTCTCGTCCTTCTAAACTCTAATGAATACAGGCCCAACCTACTCAACCTCTCCTCATAAGACAGTCCCTCCACAGCTGGGATCAGCCGAGTGAACCTTCTCTGTACCACCTCCAATGCCAGTGTAGCTCTCTTTAGATAAGGCACCTAAACTGTTCAAAGTATTTCAGCTCTGGTCTGACTAGTGCCTTGTATAGTTTTTGCAAAACTTCCCTATTATATATTCGATTCCCTTTGAAAGAAAGGCTATCATTCCATTTGCCTTCCTGATTACCTGCTGAACATGGCTGCTAGCTCCTTGTGATTCATGCCCAGGGATCCCAAATCCCTCTGTGCTGTAGCTTTCTGCAGTCTTTCTCCAATTAAATAATTTTCAGCTCCTCTATTCCTCCCGCCAAAGCGTATAACCTCACACTTTCCCACATTACATTCCATTTGCTAAGCTTTTGCACATCCTCTTAACATGTCCTTAGCCCTCTGCAAACTATTTTTTGTCATCCTCATCATTTGCTTTCCCAATTATTTTGTGTCATCTGCAAACTTGGCTATAGCACATTAATTTTCTTCATCCAAGTCATGAACACAATGTAAGAAACTGTAGTCCCAGCACTAATCACTTGTGGCACTTCACCAGCTTCAGGCTCTGTCCTGAAAACATGCCTCTCATCTATCAGTTAGCCAAGCCTCCATCCATGCTAATATACTACCTTCAACGCCATGGTCTCATCTTATAAAGTGGCCTAACGTGTGGCAACTTATCAAATGTTTCCGAAAGTAAAGGGGACAGTCGGCCATGGATTTCATGACCTTCAGATGTTACATCCAACTAAATACTTTTGAGATTTTGTCACTGTCGTTGGATATGTGGCATCCAATTTGTACACAGCAAACTAGCAATGACCAATCAATGCTGACACAGCCAGTGACACCCATAACCCAGCAAATAATTTTAAAAACCTCCTAGGAGCAGCAATGTGAAAATAAACAGATAATCTCTTCTCCTGACAGTAGGTAATGGTTGGACATTAACCAGGACACTGGGGATCTCCTGTTCTTTGAAATACTGCCACAGGATCTTTCAGTCCAGACAGCAGAGAGGGGTTTGTTTTGACGACTCAACTGAAATTCAGCATCTTGTGCAGCGCACTTCCCTGTGAAACTGATCACAAGTGTCAGCCCGTGTTTCAGAGCTCAGCTCTCTGAATCCACAACCATTTGACTCGAGAGGCCACAAACAGTCGTGGCTAACAGTATACGAAGGAAGGGTTTTATACCAACAATAATCAGCTGATAGATGTCAATGTGTGATCTCAAAGATCCATTTCGGCCCCATCCCAAAATATGTCATGGTGTTGTCTTCTGAGCTTCATCACTGAAAGGGTTACAAAAGGAATGACTATAGGCAATCCTCATTCAAATCAATCCAATTGATTCTTGGATTCCTGCTGACTTCCCTACAATGTGGAAGCAGGCCATTTGGCCCATCAAGTCCACACCCACTGTCCGAACAGGATCCCACTTAGACCCACCCTATCCCCGTCACCCTGCATTTCTAATGACTAATCCATCTAACCTGCACATCTTGGACAGCGGGAGAAAACCCACGCAGACAAGGGGCGAACATGTAAAGTCCACACAGAAAGTCGCCCAAGGGTGAAATCGAACCCAGGTCCCTGGCACTGTGAGGCAGTAGTGCTAAACACCGGGCCACCATGCCACCCAGTTGGGAAGAAAAAGTAAATATAAACCTGCAGCTAGTTATGGGAATGCCAAAGTCTGGAACCACTTCTTGAAGGGTCACACAGGTGTTGGAAGCTGCATCTTTAAATAATTTGATTATTTTTAAGACAGAGGTGGATAGATTGCAGTAACTTAGCTCTTGACCATTAAGGGCAATGATCTTAATCGACATAAATCACCCTGAGCTTTACCCCAGAAACCTTCACTCCATCCCACCCATGCCTACTCCTGCAGGCCTTATTATTCACCCAAGAGGAAGATCAGACATGTTTTATTCCTCCCAGTTGTCCCAACAACCTGTCCAGAAATCCAGATATGTTAGTGCACTCTTTGTTATCTGGCATGCAATCAAAATGGGGTCAGAATATATTGCATTCAATTCTGGTCTCCCTGCTATGGGAAAGATGTTGTTAAATTTGAAAGGGTTCAGAAAAGATTTACAAGGATGTTGCTGGAACTGGAGAGTTTGAGCGATAGGGAAAGGCTGAATAGGCTGCTAATTTCCCGAGAGCATTGGAGTCTGAGGGATGTCCTTAAAGGTTTATAAAACCATGAGGGGCATGGATAGGATAAATAGGCAAGGTCTTTTTCCTAGGGTAGGGGAGTCCAAAACTAGAGGGCACAGATTTAAGGTGAGAGGGGAAAGATCTAAAAGGGACCTGAGGAGCAACTTCTTCATGCAGAGGGTAGTGCTTGTAAGGAACAAGCTGCCACAGAAGTAACAGAGGTGGATACAATTACAAAAGGCATCTGGATGGGGTACGTGAATAAGAAGGGTTTAGAGGCATATGGGCCAAATGCTGGCAAATGGGAATACATCAGTTTAGGATATCTGGTTGGCGTCGACGAGTTGTGCCAAAGGGTCTGTTTACATGTTGTATAACCCTTTGACTCTATTCTATACATTGGTGCACTTTGAGAATCTGACACGTAAAAATGCAAGTATCTGCTTTAGAATACAAGTAAATTCCTTTCATATTCAAATGGTTAGTAAATGTTACGAAAAGTAAACTTTGCACTACAGGTACTAGGTCAAGTGGAAATGTGTTTAAGGCAGTCAGGCTAAAGTTTAGAATAAAAAGAAATCATACATTATTATTCCACCACAATGACCATTTTCTCTCATCCCTGTTGCTATCTATGATCTTTCAAAACAAAGTAGTTGGGATGTTTTCTTATGGGGTTAACAAAACAAATTGAAAAATTTCACTCACCTGCAGGAGTGCATGCTCCATCTTGTACTCCACCAACATAGCCCAGTATCAACTTGTGACAAATATCAGGTGCACACATGTACAAAAACACCTGAAAATACAAGCACAGAACAAAAAGTGTCTTCGTAATTGGCAACAAACCCGTTTGAATGGACTAATTTAAGAAGATTTAATCGTATCACCTGACAGTCTTCTCAGAGTGGGCTGGGCAAGCAGAAGGGAAGGGGAGATATTAACATTGTGTAGCCATTTGGAAACAGTAAGAATTGGAACTGTCATTCTGATGTACCCACAGTCATATGCATTCCTAAGTTTGCTGATAACAATTAATAATTGACAATTTAGTTGTTTGGTAGTACAGAAATTAACCATTGCTGACCAAAGATATTTGACATTTTGTTTCGTGTGTCCTGACCAGTGGAAGATGAAACATCACGAGAATTCCAATAAATAGAAAAACCAAAATTTATAACGTGGTTGTGTGCTGATTGATAGCATGTGGACACTGATTGGTAAAGGCATTGCCAAGGAGAATGCTGATTGGCCATTGACTGCCAGATTTCAGACAAAGCAGATTGATTCTGATTGCTTAGGACAATGTCCTGACCAATGAAGCTGCGAATGACTGTTACCTATTTTGTTGACTAATACCTGGAATGGATGGGTTGTTTGCTGAGGAAAGATTGGAAAGGGTAAGCTCAAATCTACTGGTATTTAGAAAACTAAAAAGCAACATGACTTAAACATATAAGATCCAGAGGGGTCTTGACAGGGTACACACGGAAACAATGCTTCCTCTTGTGGGAGAATCAAGAATAAGGGGTCATAGTTTACATATAATGGATTACCCGTTTAAGATGGAGGTGAGGAGAATTTTAAACTTGCAGAAGATCATGAGTCTTTGAGACTCTTTTCCTTAAAAGATAGTGGAAGCTGCTTTATAGTCAAGTAGATCAAGTACCTTCTCATGACATGGCCTTCACTAACTGCATAATGCACTTCTTTTAATTCAGTCATGCGATGTGGGCAGCACTAGCTGGTCCAACATTTATTGCTCATCCCTGGTTACCCTCGAGAAGGTGGTGGTGAGCTGCCTTCTCAAACAATTGCAGTCCAGGTGCTGTAGGTAGATCCACAATGCAGTTGAAGAAGGACTTCCAAGATTTTTTGCGAACAACACTGCAGGCGATATATTTCCAAGTCAGGATGGTGAGTGGCTTGGAGGGGAACTTGCAGGTGATGGTGTTGCCATATACCTGTTGCCCATATCCTTCTTCTAGATGGCAGTGGTCGAGGGTTTGGAAGGTGATGTTCAAGGATTTTTTGTACGTCATTAGATAGTACACGCTGCTGCTGTTGAGCAATGCTGGTGGAGGGCTTGAATGTTTATGGATGAGGGTGTTCTACATTGTTCTGGATGCTGCCAAGCTTCTTAAGTGTCGATGGAGCCACACTTCTCCAAGCCAGTGGACAGTATTCCATTATCCTCTTCACTTGTGCCTTGCAGGTGGTGGACAAGCTTTGGGAAGTCAGGAGGTGAGTTTCTCACCAGAGTATTCTTAGGCTGTAAGTTGATCTTATAGCCACTGTATTTAAATGGTAAATCCAGTTCAGTTTCTGATCAATGGTAACCCCCAGGATGTTGATAGTGAAGGGTTCAATGATAGTAATGCTATTGAATATCAAGAGGCAGTGGTTAGATTATCTCTTACGGAGATGGTCAGTGCCTGGCATTTGTGTGGCACAAATGTTATTTGTTGATGTTGTAACCCTAGCCTGGATATTGTCCAGGTCTTTGCTGCATTCAACTGCTTCAGTATGTGAAGAGTTGCAAATGGTGCTGAACACTGTGCAAACATTGACAGATGTTTCCACTTCTGATGGAGGGAACATCATTAATGAAGCAGCTGAAGATGGCTGAGCCTGGAACACTCTCTGGAGGAACTCCTCCAGAGATGTCTTAGAGCTGAGACGACTGACCTCCAATTGCCACAACCATCTTGTTGTGTGCCAGGAATGACTCCAACCAGCAGAGAGATTTTCCCCGGATTCCCAAGGACTCTAGCTAGGGTTTCTTGATGCCACTTGAAGTCTGCAATGTTTGTGGACTTCCTGTACAACAAATTGGATCTTTAGAATGCCACTTAGTGCCCAATAAAATGTGCTCAAAACAGCCGAACATCTCAGTCATTTTCTGTTTGGCGGTCATGGTAAGTGTACAACTGGTTATCTGGGAGTGGGCTCAATTCCAACGCAATTCTTCCTAATCAAGCAACTAAACAGCACCTCTCATTTGATAAAGAATTCTATTCTAACGTGCAGCTGATACATGTTGACATTATCCGGAGCTTCTTAACAAATATTCTGGTTTATTAAAAACACAGAAAGATTAAAAATAGCCCTGGTTCATCCAATGCTATTCACGGTCAATGGCTCCCAGCCTATGTTTGGTGGGATGTTTTGCTGGTAAGGTTGGAACTGGAATTCAGTTAAGAATACCCTCCTTGCTGCGGACATACAATTATTGAATAGTTACTCCACAGAAGGAGGCCACTCAACCCATTCAGTCTGTGCTGGCTTATTGCAAGAGTACCACGTGCTATGCAATTGCACTACTAGAACCACACTCTCTGGATAAAGTTTGCAAAGTCATTTAGCAAACCACTGGTTTTAGCAACTGCAAGACCAGTTTCTCACTGGGAGGATGGGATCAGCCTAGCAATGTTTCATGTGAAGTCAGGGACAGAATCACATGGAAAGTAATCACGACAATATTGTATGCTTCAATTTGCCTCATCACAACAGCCATGGAAGTCTATTTATGCATTGGATCGTAAATGAAAAAAATTGCTCAATAAAAAAACTTGTTTGTTTGAAGAAAAGGTTATATTCACGTAGACAAATGCAGATGTCTCAGGCTTTAACTATGCAGATTTGTGTGCTGGAACTTCTGAATGCAGCTCATGTGGGGATTTCTGAGAGATTAGTTTTTACAATATATTTATACATTCCATTTTTTTTTTAAAGAGCATTCCTCTGTGCTGAATTGAAACAAACAGTGCTAGCAGATTTTGGCTGACTCAGTGTACCCTGTGACTACAGAGACGAGGCACGTGAGGAAATGGTGTGATATTGTTGTGGTCACTCTGAGGGACAAGCTCTCCAAAGTAATGGCAGAGTCTCCATAGCAATGTTTAAACACTCAAAGTGAATCAACAGTCCTTGTCCCAATTCTACTTCATCAATGTAAAAACTGGAAAGAATATTTGATAGTTGTGTGTCATAATATTTAACAATGCATTTGAAAAAAAATATTTTTAAAAGCTACAGGATGTGCTCAGGAAGAAACAACCTGTGGTTGACCAGTTCAAGCACTTCACCACATTGCAGATGACTGTGAAAAAAAACAGCACAGGTGCACAGAGCGAAAACAGGGAGAGAGAAAGAGTGTGTGTGCCTGTGTGTGTGTTTGTGTCCGTTTGTGTGTGTACGTGTGCATGCATGTGCATAAGTGTTTGTACGTATTTGTGTGTTGCTGTGTCTATACATGTGGTGTGTCCAAGCTAGACAGGAACCAATGCTTCAAGTTCTGTCCAACATGGGGTGATGTCTACAGTCTGAGCTAAGTTCTGTAATTTTGAAAGAGCTTTACAGAGGCATTATTTTCATGACACTACCTTTAATCACTTATTGTTCCTCTTTCTCACATGCATTTAGCTCTTCACAGTACAGACCACAAAGTTGATCTGTTGCCCAGTGCTCCTAACCTACAAACTTGACAGAGGATCTCTTGCTGCAGTTATACAGTGCCTTGGTGAGATCACACCTTCAGTATTGTGTGCGTTTTCATCTCCTTAACTGAGGATGGATGTTCTGGTTATGGAGTGAGTGAAGTGAAGGTTTACCAGACTGATTCCAGGAAGGCAGGACTGACATATGAAGAGATACTGGATCAGGAAGGGCTATATTCACCTTATAGGAATGAAGAGGGTATCTCATACAAACCAATAAAATTCTGACAGGACTGGACAGGGGAAACGCAGAAAGGATGTTCTCGATAACCAGGGAGTTCAGAACCAGGTCACAGTCTAAGGATATGGAGTAGACCATTTAGGACGGAGTTGAGGGGAAATTTCTTCACCCAGAGAGTGGTGAGCCTGTGGAATTCACTAACACAGAAAGTGGTCGAAGCCAAAACTTTAAAAGTTTTCAAGGAGTTAGACATAGCTCTTGGGGTGAAAGGGGTCAAAGGGTATGAGGAGAAAGCACGAACAGAGGACTGAGTTGGATGATGAGCCACGATCATATTGAACGGCAGACCAGGCTCAAAGACCCAAATGACCTACTACTAATCCTTTTTCCTACGTTTCTATGGAAACCTCCTCCAAAAAGATAATCATGACATTTATGCTTAGCAAAGCGTCTGCCACAAATGAAAGGCAATGATTTTAACTCAGCCAGGAAATTTCATGTTGGGATCTATGATGCTCATAGACCAATACAGAAAATCCAGATCTGACCTCCGTAAAGCCACCAGGGAGGCCAAGAAGCAGTAATGGACCCAGTTATGGACCCGATCCTACCAAACAGACTCCTGCCATCAATGGCAAGGCCTAAACGACATTACGGGATACAAAATGAAACAGTGTAAGATAGCAGACAAAGACACATCCCTCCCTGACACACTCAATGCTTTCTATGCTCGGTTTGAGCAGAACACCAGCGGCGCGGTCATGCCTTCCCCGACAGCCCCCAACACACCTGTTCCCTCTGTCACTGCTTCAGAAGCCAGATCGGTCTTCCTGGGAGTCAACCCAAGGAAAGCAATGGGCCCGGACGGTGTCCCCGGCCGAGCGCTCAGATCCCGTGTAGATCAACTGGCGGAGGTATTCACCGACATCTTCAACCTCTCCCTCCTACAAGCTGAAGTCCCCACCTGCTTCAAGAAGACCACCCTCACTCCTGCACCCAAGAAAGCACACGCAAAGTGCCCTTATGACTACCGCCCAGCAGCTCTGACCTCAATAATCATGAAGTGCTTTGGGAGGCTGATCATGGCCCACATCAACTTCAGTCTCCCAACCTGCCTCG